ATATATATATATATATATATATATATATAAAGAAAGTAGCGCCAATTTCAGTTACCTGGATGAGAGAAATGTGTTGCCAAGGACGACGGTTCGAAATATCTCTTACTGTCGCGACGGACCAATCAGAGTCAAGAATTCCACTGAGTTGTGTAAATGAACAGCATCATGAACTTCCCTTTGCATTAACCTCAGGTTAGGTGCCTTGCATTAGGGCATATTGTTGATGACTAGAGGACATTGAACTGGGAGTCTACACTACACTACGCCACCCATCTATTATATACTAGAAACTTTATGACATAAAGCAGAACTTTATAATTTAGGCAAAACCTCTACAGCACACTGCTAAAAGTGCTTATATGGGTAACCCGAGTTCAAATCTGGCTTGTGGTGTTTCCTGATCTCTTCCCACCACCCTCTGTCATTTCCTGTGACTACCACGGTCCTATTAATAAAACTGGCAAAAGACCAAAAATGGAAAACCGTGGGTATATCTTGAAAGCCTCACCTGATGAACAGCTGGGTTCTCGTCCATCCTGTTCTGCTTCTTACTTTTCGCTTTTGTGTCTGTTTGGTCAGGATTCTTCCTACATAATGTTCTTCCAGCGAAGCTTTCTGTTTCGTCACACTGTTCCTCTTTCTATCTCTCCTCCGTCAACCACAAGTCATCCAACTACTATCTTCCCTCATCACACTCTCTGTTCACTCTTTCACTGACTGATAAACATGTAATGACTTAGCTTCCCACAAGACCCCTCTCTTTAACACATACATAAGCGGGCTGTTTCTGCATATATTTCCTGAATCTCACCATTGCTTAAATTTATGAGGGCCAGAAGATGATTTTGCTCCAAAATCCATCAACTGGATCAAGTCACCCAAGTTAAACTTGAGGAAACACAAACACTAAACGGGAAAAAAACCTGCAAGCACATTTTTAAAGCTCCTCGGTATAGGAAGTGGCATAGTTAATATTCATTTCTATATACCTTCGATGTGACATTTTTACATACACAGACGTCGGCACTCCTGACTATCAGTGGTGTATGTGAGGCTGGTGCCGGCTGATAAGAACTGAGGGGGTGTGAGAGGAGCAAAACCACAAAAGAGCACGTCACACATTGCGTGGGAACGAACTTGTTTGGAAGCCGTCACACGACAAAACCATAAACATACACGGAACTTCAAAAATACACATTACTTTAAGAAGAAAATGAAACTGACCAAGATGGGAAAAGACTGAGACATTCAAGAAACATCTTTTAGGTCCAGTGACAGATCAAAAAAGTGCTCTGTTTGTCAATTTCATACTTTTATTAGTTCAGAATACAGTACAAATGTGGAAAAAAGAAATGATAGCAAAATTAACACGTTGGCATACTTTCGACCGTAAACATGCACACATTCACATAAGAGAGGAATTTAGATGTTCAGTTTACAAAAAAAAAAAAGACAAAAGTACTGGTGAATGGTAAATACAAGGGTTCAAATGGTCAATAACAGCATACTGAATTCAGCAGTGTTGTGATACCAGCATGAAAATGAGGCAACTGTGAAACATGATGTATAAAACACTGTAATAACAATAACAAATCATGCATAATGTGTTGGATTTGGTCATGTAAGATTTTTTATGATGGGAGCCATAGGTTTATTTGGTTACATCAAATATGAGAATTTCTTGGACAAGAGAGTCGAGGGAAACAGGTGCATAGAGAAATAAAACAAAACAAATGTTTCTGAGCTATGTAAAACAGATGTAATTCTCAAAATAATATCAGCGCTACCTTAAAGCCAATATAAAATGGGCTCAGTGGCTGATGTGCTTTTCTTTGGAGATACATTTTCATCAAACTGACCTACATTTGTGCAATCGCTAAACACCGCAATATATGGAATGAAAAACAACTGAACTGATATTGGCTATGATAATCAATGCATCATCATCACATATTTAGTTCGATACGTTTTAGGACAAAACGAATGTGCTTCTTAAAATATTTGTTCATTTACAGGTAAACAGTTCTTATAAATGAAGCATGCATGACAAATACACAAATCGCATTGTTCTTTCACCTTTCCCTGCCTTTGTTTTTGCTTATTTTACATTTGTCGCGACTACATTTCACACAGAGCCCTTCTCATCAACTACAAGGTATGTTTTGGAAAGCCTTATTGAAAGTGCATGGATGGCTGTGGATAAACAGACTTTACGTCTCACCTCAGTAGTCAGCTGTGGTACAATTTATGGATGTTCTGAGTTTTTTTTAAAGGCATGCTGGGAGTCGTACAGCTCGCTGAGCTGAGACGGCAGTGCAGTACATTACTTCTGCACCGAATCAGCCTCTACAGTAAAAATTCAAGCCAAAAAACAGCTCTAAAAATCACTTCTCTAACACTTTACATATTAATCTAGGGGTAAAAACTACAACATGGAGGCACTAACACTGTGCTCGCACACATCAAGCCCTATCAGAAAGACACCAGGGCAAAGGGGGCAAGCTATTGGCCGAGCTCTGAATAAGGCCATTCAGAAAAAGCAGCAGAGCTTTGTCGAAAGAAGACGAAACTGTCATTGAGCAAACATGAGGAAAATTAGAAAATGACAATGTGAAATGGAACACATTCGGCAAATGCATTTTCAAAGCTGAGCCAATTATGTGTCTTAAATTTGGTTTAGGTTTGTGGCAAGTTCCACCAATCAATGTTTGGCCTGCTTGGCACGTTGGGTATGGCATTTCATGCACAGAATTCTGCCATCAAATGGATAGCAGCCATCAGCGTCTGCCTCTATGGAAAGGGGGCGAGCACAATCCTGCAATGAAAGAAAGTAAAAAAAATGTATTTGAAAGTTAAGAAGCATCATTTTTGTAATCTGTGGCTGGTACAAATAGGTAAAGGTCACAAATGGAAGTGTCTTCACACCTCACAGCGGTAGCACTTCAGGTGAAAGTTCTTCTCTAAGGCAACAACCCTGACTGTCTCTTCACTTCCAGGGTCGGGAATAATCGGCTCATTGCAGCTTACGCAAAGAGGAGAGAACCGGCTGAGGGAGAGAACAAGACGGAGTGAGGTTATGATATACAAAACTTTTTTTTTTAAACATTGTATAACATTTTTTTATGGGTGTTTATTCAACTTCAGGCACATTTATGACCCAAGAGTTGATTTTTATTTCTATTCTATTAAAAACGTTTTTTTTGTGTTATATTAAGTTCACATTAAAACAGATTTTTTTTAACATTTACCTTTCTATTTTAAAATGACTTTTGTTTATAGATTTTATTGTATTACTCTTATCATAGTCAGACTTTCAATCTTAAAATATGAAAATCCATCATAAAAATGACAATTTAAAAAAACATAATACAAAGTGAGAAAAAAAATCAAGTAATTTCTATACAGTCGTGGTCAGAATTATTGGCACCCTTGGTAAATATGATCAAAGAAGGCTATGCAAATAAATCTGTATTGTTAATCATTTTGATCTTTTATTTAAAAATTTTTTAATAACATGTGAATTTTTAAAATAAAAGATCAAAATGATTAACAATGCAGATTTATATTCACAGCCTTCTTTGATCATATTTACCAAGGGTGCCAATAATTCTGACCACGACTGTTTATACAGTGTGAAAATTATTTGCATAAACTTTTTATACAATTGCCCGAATTGCATAATTTCCACCAGACTAAACAACTTTGCTCCAATAAAATGCACAAAAAAAAAAAACCTAAATAAAATTCTAAAAAATTTGCGCAGTTTTTTATCAAGAAAGTGAAGAGCACATCTGAGATAAAATATGAGACGTGATTTATGAAGACAATGTAATATTACTTGTGAACAAATTTTTGTGCATCATTTCCAATCTGAGCTGTAATCCAGCTACACAAAATGTATGAAAATACTACTTATGGTTTTAATATAGGATCATTTCATATAATAACTTTCCACCACAATAAAAAAAAATTGCCTCTAATAAAGTGCCTTCAACAGTAGTGTACTTTTATCAAAGCATGTCTGAGGTAAAATATGAGACATGATGTATGAAGAAAAAAGGTAATATCAATTGAGTACAGAAAAATTTTGTGCATCACTTCCAATCATGCTGTAAGTCAGTTACACAAAAAGTATGAAAATACCATTTCATTGTATTTAGAATACATAAGATGATAACTAAGAAATGAACATTGCAAAAACATATAAAAATTAATTCCCACCACTAAATTAAACCCAAATTAAATAAACTCATTTCGAAACTTGTGGTTTAAGGAAGTTTCATTTTATAGGTCCAAGAATGTCCATAGGTAAAGAACAACCCATATTAAATCTCACCGATTTATTCATAACATTGATGACTGACTGAATGTGATAATTATTTCAAATGCTCTAGAGTATAACTGAGAGCTGTGACAGGTCTGGGATTTGGTGATAGCTCACCGATGGTAATCTTTGACACAGTAAGGGTTGTTTTTGTCATCGGTGATGAATGGAGCGCCCTCCAGGGTGCAGCCACAGGTAGAGCAGAGGAAACAGTGGGCATGGAAAGACTGGCCCACCGCCTTCAGGACACGATCGGTGATCCGCTCCCCACAGCGGGAACACACAGCCAGAGAATTCTGGAAACACACAAATCACACCCGAAGACAAACAGTAAGAAAAACAATGCTACGCTTTAATGAACAAAATGGGTAACTGAATAAGTTCCCACGTTAACATGTGCATATCTATAATGTTCTCCTGATTCCAAAAAATGTAAACCGAAAAATATGTCATTTCACATGTCTAAACAGGTTTGCCTCACCATGTAGCAGTCCTCACACTGAGGCGTTCTGTCACAGTCGTAGAACTGCATGCCCTGTAGGGGGCGCCGACAGGTCACGCAGCAGAAACAATGCGAGTGGTAGAGTTTATCCATCGCTCTTACTGCTGGCTGAGATCTAGACAGAGCCTCTCCACATTTACCACACACCTCTGAAAGGAAACATATGTTCACATTAAGAATGGAAATTAGAGATTGTGGACAAGGAGTGATTTATGAGGTAAAGAAAGGTTAATTATGGAGCAGTACACACAGATTAGTCTCTAGGGTGATAACTGGGTGACTGGAGAGGTGCCTGTTCAACCTGGTTAAAAGGTCTCAGTTAAACAGCACAGCCTCACTAACTGACCCTAAGCCCCGCCTTAAAAACATTTATGACCAATCCAACCATCAGCAACTCTTGTCATTCACCATAGAGTACATCAGTCAGTTATAGAAGTAAAAATCCCATTCATTTTTTTCATAGAGGAACTGATTTTTAACGATAACTTGTAAGCCTTTGAAGACAGACCAACTGTGAGCTATGAGGTTGTTAATCGATGGTATTTGCTTTTGTCGAAGCCAGTCTGTAGTATTTCAACTTAGTTTTTAAACAGTCACGTTTAACAGCGGAATTCTTGGTGAAAAACTACATTACCAATGATTTTGCCCCCAAATTATTATTTTTTTTTAAATCTCCACCAATCAGAGAATCGTGACAAGCAAATCCCGCCAAAAGAACTAAAGCTACTACTTTTGTGTGCGCTACTGTCATCATTACGACAACAAAAATCTATTACTACTTCGATAGTACACTTTTCAATTAATTTGGGTATATTTAGGTTTATAACGGGTATGGTTCTCACCTTATTGATAAACAGAATCAGAATCAGAATAAGCTTTATTCGCCAAGTGTGTGCAAACACACAAGGAATTTGTTGTGTTTTTTTAGGAGCTCTTGGTACAAACATGCTGTAAATACATATATAACATGAGAACAGAAAGAACATTTTAAATAAGACTAAGGAAAAAACAAAAAATGCATAATAATATTAATAATGTGGTATACATCTGGAACAGAAGATTTATGTAATATCAATTTTGTGATTCACCTCATAGCTGCCTTGTTTGGTTCATGGCTCTTTAATGAAGACTTTAAAATCCCTATGAGAAAAATACTTCTGGAACCCCCCATATAACTTTCTTTCTCCACTGTATGGAAGAAGAAAAAAATAAATTTTTTCAAATTACCTTTTGTGTTTCACAGAAAAAAGAAAGACATACAGGTTTGAAAAGGCACAAAGGTGAGTAAATGCTCTCTCTTCATTTTTGGGTGAAGTTGCTCTTTAACACAAATCTCCATTTCTAATTTCTACAGGGCCTTTTGTGATGTTTGCCTGACTGAGCAACAGCAACAAGGAGGGGCAGAGCTCAGTGAAGGATCATAACAACAAACCGGGCAATAAAGAACTAAATCAATCTATGAACAACAATATATCAGTCTTAAAAATAAACCTACAAACACTGAACATAAAAACACCAATAAACATTTTATTTCAGTTGTATGTGAAAGTAGGCTGATCAAATCCAAAACTGATCAAAAAGTATTTTTAGCTTTCACCTGCATACACATCTAAGCTACTAAGGAAAAAAAAAAAACTCAATACTGACAAAGACAGAGTGAGATCATTACAACACTCATCCAGAGAGATCCAGACACGGGAGAGGTGAAGCGCTGTACTGTTTAGACACTGCTAATAGAGTAATAAACTGAGATAGAGAAGCTACATCAAGCTGAACACCTACACAGACTGATAAAGAGAGAGAGAGACGGAGAAAGAGCAAGAGAAGTCTGGCACCATCGCACAGTCAGTGTTTATAACAGCTTGTCTGCTGTGCATTAAACAAGAGCCATATGGACGTCTATGACTGAGGCTTAAATTACCATCAAACCCAGGAAATCACTGAAATTAGAATAAATAAAAAAGATAAATCAAATCATAAGGGTATGGGTGTGTACACAAGGTGGAGGTGACTGTGTGTAGGAGGAGAGCTGATAGTGTTGGTGTACCTGTAGCCGGAGAGGTGATCACAGGAGGATGATTGTCCATGTCTTTGATAAAGTCCTTAGTCATTTTCTCCAGCTCTTCTACTTCCCTCATAGTGAGAGGAGCTCCACCAGGACCTGAACCTGAACCAGACACCTGAAATGCAACAGCATCACAAATTACTCCATTCATTTCAAACATTCGTTTTTAAAGATCATTTCAGTTTTACATCTGCAAACTTCATATTTTTTAAGTAATGTAAAACTTAAAAAAAGTAAAAGTGCCAAACAGTAAAAGCAGTAATATTGTGAACTATTATTACAATTTAAAATAAGTTTTTATTTGAATACAAATTTTTAAAAAATATATCATTTATTCCTGTGATGGCAAAGCTGAAGTCGTCAGTGTCACATGATCTTTCAGAAATCATTCTAATATGCTGATTTGGTATGCTCAAGAAACATTTATTATTACTATCAATATGTTTTATGTGGAAACAGTGATTGATTTTCAGGATTCTTTGATGAACAGAAAGACTAAATAAACAAAATTTATTTGAAATAGAAATCTTTTGTAATGTAAATGTATTTACTGTCAGTTTTGATCAATTTAATGTATCCTTGCTGAAAAAAAGACAATTTTCACCATTCAAAATCTAACTAATATCTTATTTGCACATTAAATTTATTGTCTTTTATTTTATGCTTCTCTTTAATCATTTATTGCTGCCTTTACACTGCAAAGTCAGTTCTGCATCACATCTTGTTCTTGACATAAAACATAATGTGCTTTGATTGACATGACATCAAAATTTAAGACAGCTCTAACACAGCATTGCATTCACTAAACTAAAGCCTAAAACTTAACCTTAACCAAAACCGCAAAACTAGTCTTTTACCACCGAATACTGGTACTTTCTTCACGAAATATCTTTATTTTCCAGTTTATTGAATTCATTTTGATTTTGTTACCTTACGTTATCTTTATTTATATAACTGCATCACATTACAATCTAAAGCAGACCCACCTTTGGTGGAACCGTGTTTCCTGCTGATCTGTTGAATGACGAGACGGGCGATATTTTAGGTGCAGCAGGAGAAGGCGGAGCAAAGCTTTGCTGACTGCCAGTGGGAGATGTTTCCGAGTGATTGAATGTAGGTGCAGGGGCAGGAATATTCGCTGGTCGAGGAACAGGGGCGGGAGGGGCGGCAGGTGGAGGTGGTGGGAAAGAGCTTTGGGCGATATGCAAATTACCATGCTTCCACACAAAGGGTCATAAAACTCCCCAGTATTTCCAAACTCCCACTTGGGATTCCGGCCTTTCTCATTGGACAAGCCCACCTTGAGAGGCGTGAATCTTCGCAGACTTTAAAGGCCTCACATTCAGTGACCCGCCCAGGGTCGGTGGTTCGGTTAGATTCTAAGATGAAGACATGAGCTAGAACGCTTCTGCAACCCCCCCTAAGTACGTGCCAGGCTTCGGCCTTGACTTTTCCATTCACCAAGATTCTCTGACTCAAACTGGTTCTTTTTCATCAACCAACTTCAGCAAAGATCAACTTGAACCTTCAGATTGCATCAAGCCTCTCTTTCAGACAGACGAGACGTGCAAGTATTCAAACTTAGTTTTATTAATTGATACATTAAGTATCATGGGTACCTTGTTACAAAGGTGCGTTTGAACTAAGAATCTGATGTTTCCTTCAGGCGGTAGATCTGCTGAATATGCAAATGGTTCCATAACTTCATATTCTTTTTTCTCTTCTCTTTACTGCGTTAAGCTTTTAACCCTTTCCTATACCAACTGTATGCGTGTGTGTGTGTGTGTGTATGTGTAGGTGTATGTTAGACTAGTTTTTTTTTTAAGTGTTTATGTAGTTAATAAAGTCTTATTTGTATCACACTTGACGTTGTTCATTGTTTACTCATAACTGGCGTCCCTAATCATGCAGATTTATGCTGCAGGCTCTGTGTAGAGTTGTACAGTAAGAAAGTTATTTCCCTTAACCAGGAAATTAACGTTCTTAGAATTGACAGACAGTTGACCCTGAGAGGTCAAGTAAATATCTACAGCGGATCTAAATATTTATAATTAATTATAACTAGTTATGATTAATTATTCATATTTCCCCATGAGCTGATTCGCTACATAAGGTTTAAAAATTAATGAGAAATAGCTAAACCCTGAAAGTCAAGATAAGAGGTTAAAGGCTCTGAGTTTACCTTTGGATTGAAAGGTCCGCTAGTCTCCATCTCTGATAACATATTGGTCAAAGAGCCCAGCTGCCTGTCAAAACTGGTCTGTTTCTCAAACAGCCTCTATGGAGAACAAAACAAGAGATAAGAGAGAATATGGGAGAATAAAAAAAAAAAGACAAGATGAGTGTGGGGTGTAGAAGAGGTCAGAGAGGAGAATGACAAGAAAGGGTGAATCAACCATGAAACCAGACGTAGTCTTAAAAAGAGAACAAGAGTATATAAATGTGAGGCAATAAAAGGGTGGGACAGAGTACAAAGCAATAACAAAGGAATATGTGAAACAGAAAATGACAGGATCAGAGCTGAAAACAATCCAGAGAACATTAAAAGTGTGAAGAACAGATATAAATAAGGATGAAGGAAACTGTGCCTTTTGAGAAGTGTTCCTAGATTATAATTAATGCCTAGTTAGTCATTTGATCAAATTATATGTGAAAATAAAAGGGCAGAATACGTGTGTGAATCCAAAATGAGAGGGATGACGCTCTTAGAAATCTGGAAGAGCTGAGAAAGACAAACAAATTACAGTCTTGCGGTTACAGAAATATGCACTTTCTATGACAAATGACCGCACTGCTCGACAGTAGAAAAGAAAGGGTCATCAGACGCCTTAAAAAGTACAAAACGTTCAAGATCAGGCACTATGGTCAACTACTTGAACAGCAACCGACTAGTTAGAATGACGTCTTTGTTCATTCATAGCAACTTGTTCTGTTTATTGCATCAATTAGCATCTTGTGAAGTGAAAAGCTGCATGTTTATAATAAACAAATTCATCAAGACGTCAACTTCAAACTGTGCTTCCCACTAAAAAATATTAGCTTGTAAACAATGTCACGTAAAGTTACATTTATCTCTGGAAAGCCATTTAATGTCCATAAGAAAAAATCTGATAGTCAGATAGAAAAAATAACTCTAGAGAGGAGCATTTTGCTAAATATATGCACTATATATTTTACGTTCATACTTAAACTGTTAGTGATGCCTTCATTATTTGTCAGGAAAGCAAGTTTTTATTACAGTCACTGTTTAAATGTTTATATTTAAACAATGAAATGGAGTAGAAAAGTCATTATATCATTAAAAAGTTGTTAAAAAATGTGTAATTTAAGTGTTTGTATACGACTTTTTATTTTTATTTGAGTGTTGATTATTAAATAAATTTGATTAATTGATTATTAAATAACTGTTATTTTCAGTTTTCAGCTAAATGAAAATTTTAATTTCAGTCTCGGTGTTCCAGGAAATGAATAATTTTGGTGCATCACTGATCAGAATGGAGTTATATAGGTTTGAAAAGGGATGAAACTGTGGTCAGTATAGTGCAACAGCATTTTAATCTTAAAGGAAAAGACATAAAGTCATAAAGATTGAGAATGATATAAGGGCAAGAAAAAACTGGTCAAGATTAAAATCAAATTGAAATTAAATCAAATATTTGGAAACCTACCTGGAAGGTACAGAGGTTAATTCCTCAGGAGATGCAGGGAGGTTCAGGTCCTCTGCAACTGGGGGCGGGGCTGGGAATGCAGGAGGAGGGGCATCAGATACAGGGGGTATGAGTTGGCATTCTGGAGGAGGGTCTGGAAGCTCTGCATCATCCAGTGGAGGAGGAGGGGGCGGAAAGTCTAATGAACGGAGGCAGTGGATTTCATTACACTTGCACCAAATCACAATAACAAAACAATCCCTTTCTGCATTGTTCATTCACCTCAACACAAAGCATGATAGCATAGCTTATCTGCATAGTGCACCTACATTAGCATTCAGTACATTGTTGCTTCTCATACGAAAAACAAATATTTAGATCATCAGGACTGGTATTTAATGGACAACACAGATAATGAATATGCCAGACATACAGGTGCATCTCAATAAATTAGAATGTCGTGGAAAAGTTTATTTCAGTAATTCAACTCAAATTGTGAAACTCGTGTATTAAATAAATTCAGTGCACACAGTTAAATGTGAGCCAAAATCATCACAATTAAAACAAACAAAGACTTAAACTACTTCAGTCTGTGTGCATTGAATTTATTTAATACAAGAGTTTCACAATTTGAGTTGAATTACTGAAATAAATGAACTTTTCCACAACATTCTAATTTATTGAGATGCACCTGTAAGTAAAGACAGAAAAATGCTATTTTAATCCTTCAAGTCATACTTGGTTGTTTATACGCTTTTAACACTTTGCTCAAAAGCGAATATTTTTACAGTCATGTCTGAAAATGCACTCTGTTGCCAAGTGCACATGTTGTTATTCTGGTGAGGAGAGAATTACTATAATTGTGCAATCTGTTACAGAAACTGCTAAGATAAACAAAGCTTAAGTCTGAAAAACAAGTAGAGTGAGCTTTCTTATAAGCACCTCACATTCAATTTATAATAAAGGATTAACAACCTATTATTGATATTATAATGAAGAAAAAAGCCAATTAAAAATATAATTATTTAACAAATAATTTAATATTTTGGCATAGTCTTCTATTATTATTATTATTAATATTATTTCTTGAAGTACATTTAATTTTTAATGAAATTAAAAACATATTTTAACACAACTAGGGTTGGGTATCATTCAAAAATGTTCAATATCGATACCAATACCTTGACATCAATACCGGTTCCTGAACAATACTTTTTTCTGTACTAATTTTATGAAATTTGTTTTAACAAGATTACATTACCTCAAAATTTTTTTATTTTGTCGGCTTGTTGAGGTTTTTACAGACTCAAAGACTCATCTCCTGAGCCAAAATTTAACCAACACAATAAATCAGTGCAAATTGTTTTAAAGGGGTCCTATTATGCTCTTTTATAAAGTCTTGATTTTGTTTTGGGGGTGTACTAGAACAGGCTCTCATACTAGGTTGTTTTTACACATTTTACACATCATACACATTATTTTTCACATATTTTACATTATTACAACACCTCTCTCCCCAGTCTGGCATGAACGAATAGTTCCTGTATCAAATGAAATGAAGGCCCGCCTTCTGAAATACAAAATGTGCTGCGATTGGTTAGCTGGGTCAGTGTGTGTTGTGA